TGCGGATGTCTCAAGCGAAACAAGGGATTTGTCGAGGATGTCTCCAGCGAGATAAGCCATTGTTGAGGATATTTCTATGAAAACTAAACGCCAAGGATGTCTCAAAACGTGCTCGGCTTGGTCTCCTCTTGATCATCTCTTACTTCGAGATTATGCTGAGGTCTGCTGGGCTACGTTTATTATCTCTCCCTGAACCCCGAACTTTATTATCCCCTAGTGTTTATTCTCACGGGCATGAGGTTAGTCTTGTTTAGATGAGTTCTTGACGTTCCGCATATCCCGAGCAGACCACCACAGCTGATGCCCACGCGAGTTGTCTTAGGAGCCTCGTGGAGGCGTCCTGGAGCAGTCTAGGGTAGGAGGAGGAGCAGCAGTAGCAGCAGCAGCATGAGCAGTGGGAAGAGGGGGGAGGACGAGGAAGAGGAGAAGGAATAGGCAGTACTTGTATGGTAATGGGGCACATGCAGGTCCTCGTCGCCGCAGCGGCAGAGGGCCCACTTGGTGCAGTAGATTTAGTGTAAACAGTGTGCCCCTACGCGAGCGGCGACGAGGAGTCCGAGGGTCCCACCGGGCATGTGCACCCAAGCAACGGCCCTCCAGGAGGGGAATGCCGTGGCCAAGGCTCAACCACCCCCGCGGGATGGAGACCAGCGGGCAACCGAACGCAGCCACCATGGCCGCCCCCAGGAACCCCGCGGGCCCGACACGGGCAGCCCCTTTATGCCACCCTCGAAACCAACACCCTGGTCTGAGCCCACGAAGTGCCCCGAAGGACAGGTCCCTCTCGCGCTCGGCCGTCCCCCGCAGCATCTGCCAGCACGGGGTCCCCTCGAGCCCGCTGGTGAACTGCGGCGTGAGGCCTCAGACCTGCAGCACAATTGGCACTTCGGCCGTCACGAGGCCCACCAGCACGTCGTGTTCGAGCCGCCGCCGCCGCCGCAGTGCGAGGTGGCTCGCCACCGCCGCGGCCGCCCTGGCCTGCTCCGCCTGTTTCTCCTCCACCGTGGCCTCCCAGCTCCGCATCACCTTCACGCTCGGCCCCTCGACGCTGCTCTTCTCGGTCATGTTCGGCACCTCGACGCTGCCTACCACGAGCTGCACCGTCGGCTCCTCCACTCCACGGGCTTCTCGATCGCACACGGCACCTCGACGCTGCCGTCCAGCTGCACCGTCGGCACTCTCATTGTCTTCTCGACCACGCTCGGTACCTCGATGCGTCTTTTCTTGAGCTGCATCGGCGCCTCCGCGGGCTTCTCGATCGCGCACGGCACCTCGACGCTGCTCCCCACCAGCTGCACCGCAGGCATTTTCACGCTCGGCACCATGACGCCGCCCTTCACGAGCTGCATCGGCACCTCCACGGTCTTCTCGGCCGCGCTCGGCACCCCTGCGGTGCCATCCGCGAGCTGCGTCGGCACCGCCCCTTCGCCCTCCTGCTCGTCATCCTCCGCGCCACGGGCTGCTCCAGCGCCCCGAGGTGCGCCGGCAGGGTGCCTCTCCTTCCAGCCCTCATTCGGCGCGCAGGCCCCGACCTGCAGCACGAACGGCTTGCTCTCGATCTCCTGTTCGTGCAAGTTCCCCCTCCACGCCTTTCGAGCCCGCTGGGCCAGCCTCCAAGGTGCCCCGAGGTAGTGCCCGACATCCGACAGGCTGGTCCTGATGAACTCCTCGACTATGAGCTCGCCCAGCGTGCAGGCGTGGACCTCCGAGATGGCGCCCCTGGCGCGGAGAACCGCCAGAGGCCCCGACCTCGGCACTCTTGGGAGCCTCTTGGAGGCCCTTCAGGCCACCTGGGAGGCCTCTTGGGCTCCCCTTCGGGCTTTCTGGGGCCAGCTTGCAGCCGTCCTGCGGCCTGGGGAGCAAAGTGTGCGCCAAGAGCAGAGAAGACATACATGATTTGTGAACCCCTCCCGGTTTAGGAAGGCAGGTGGCCTCTTTGGTGGGGCCCTATGGGGCTGTTTGAGCACGTTGGAAGCCATACTGTGTGATCGTGCATATCGTGCTAGCTGCTAGCTTGCATTCGCTTGTTTCACATTGGAGGTCAGGGTGGGCTCTCTTGGACCATCGTGACGCTATCGTGGACCACCTTCGGCGCTCTGACTGCTCTCCGCCCCCCCGTCCAGACCCAGGGGGAGAGGGGTAAACCCCTCGCCGAAGTGGAATAAGGGGTTTGAATCAGGCGATCGCAAACATGGATCAAGGGGGCGTGGATTAGCGACGGGCCCCGTCTCCATGGGGAATCGCGGATTTCCGCCACCGAAGAGGCGGCACCGGCCGCATTTTAGGGAGGGCGCCTCCCCCGATCTATGTTTGTGCGCCCCCGATTGAAGAGGAGAGGAAGCACGCTAGGGCACCTCCGCCCAGAGGGCTGGTGGGATTCCTGCTGCGTCCTGCCTGGGCGATCTGGCAGCGCAGCACCGATCGCCACCCCTCGACCTGGAGCTCTCTGGCTCTTCGGCCCCCACCGGCTTGCCACGCGGGTGCAGCAAGCCGGTGGGGCTTGAGCATGCCGCTGTCAGACAAACTCCTCTTGATGGGCCTGTTTTCCACCACCACCATAAGTTGGAGGGGGAAAGGTTGATGATGATGATGATGATGATGATGATGATGATGATGATGATGATGATGATGATGATGCTGATGCTGATGCTGATGCTGATGCTGATGCTGATGATGATGATGATGATGATGATGACGATGATGATGATGTTGATGATGATAATGATGACGATGGCGACGACGACGATGATGATGATGATGATGCTGATGGTGATGATGATGCTGATGATGCTGCTGCTGATGGTGATGATGATGATGCTGATGATGATGGTGATGCTGATGATGATGATGATGCTGCTGATGATGATGATGGTGATGATGGTGATGATGGTGATGATGATGAGGATGAGGACGAGGATGAGGATGAGGATGATGATGATGATGATGATGATGATGATGATGATGATGATGATGATGATGATGATGATGAGGATGAGGAGGAGGAGGAGGAGGAGGAGGAGGAGGGGGAGGATAAGGATGATGATGATGATGACGACGAGGATGAGGATGAGGATGAGGATGAGGATGAGGATGCGGATGAGGATGCGGATGAGGAGGAGGAGGAGGACCCCCTCCCCCTCCAACATTATGGTGGTGGTGGTGGAAAGCTGGCCCATCACCTCTCCCGTTTTCCTAGCTCGCGCATCTCTCCTCGGCGTGCGGTTGCCCCTCTAGATTGCGTCCGATGTCTCTGCGGCCCTCTCGGCGACGAGAAGCCGCAGCCGTGGCATCGCGTTCGTGTCGCAGGCCAAGCAGCAGGCGATCCTTGGAGCTTGCGCCCGCGCAGCCACTCCTGCCGAGAAAGGCGGCGGCTGTTGAGGCGCTGGTCAAGGTAACGTTGCACAGACATTGAGGCTGGAGCTGTGATTGGCATCGACTCTGCCGTTTGTAGCATTTTCTCGTACGCGCGCCATTGGAGCGGGCACAGCACTGCACGACTGCGAAGTCCTGATTGGGAAACGAGCGGAGCTGCTAACATTTGGATTCGCGGCCGCCAGTGCGTTTTATAGTGGATGTGGTGTGCACTGCTCTGTAGGAACGTCGGTTGGCAAGCAGCAGGTGCATATTCGCATTGGTTGGGCCCTGGGGACGGCCGAGCGACTAGCCGGGATGAACAAGTCGTCATTCGGGCAAGGGTCGGGACTTCTGGAAACCGCCGTCTTGGAAACGTCGAGACGTCGGATGTCTGGAGCGAGGTGGAAGCGGGGCAGAAAAGGGCGGAAGCGGGGAACGGGGAGCAGGACGAGCAGGGAGGGGACGGGGTGGCAGCGGAGCGCAGGAGGAGGGAGGAGAGGAGCGGGGAAGGCGGGGAGAGCCGGAGGAGCGAGGGGAGCCTGGAGCGGGAGGGGTGGCGGGAGGGGCGGGCAGGGGCGGAGGCGGGGAGCCGGGGCTGCGGGGGACGAGGGCGGGAGACGAGGGGGGCAGGGCGAGGAGGGGGAGCAGGGCGGCGACGCCCTCTGCCACCCGGCTCGGCCATTTTTTTGGGGGTGGGGACGCTGCCGAGGGCCTCGCAGAGGCCACCGCTCGCGCCGCGAGGCCCTCGGCCGCTCCCCGCGCGCCGGTGTTCGCCATGGCCGAGGAGCTGCCGACCAGGGCCTACGTTGCCGACCTCGTGCGCGACGCCGCCTGGAGGCTGCCCGCCTCGGAGGCGCTGACCGCCGAGCACCTGCGGAGCTCGGGGGGCAGAGAGGAACCCATACGCCTTGGGGTGCGAAAGGGGAGGAGGAGGAGGAGGAGGAGGAGGAGGAGGAGGAGGAGAGGAGGGAGGAGAAGGAGGAGGAGGAGGAGGAGGAGGAGGAAAGGGAGGAGGAGGAGGAGGAGGAGGAGGAGGAGGAGGGAGGAGGAGGAGGAGGAGGAGGAGGAGGAGGAGGAGGGAGGAGGAGGAGGAGGGCGAGAGGAGGAGGAGGAGGAGGAGGAGGAGAGAGGAGGAGGAGGAGAGGAGGAGGAGGAGGAGGAAAGGGAGGAGGGAAAGGGAGGAGGAGGAAAGGGAGGAGGAGGAGGAGGAGGAGTAGGAGGAGGAAGGAGGAGGAGGAAGGGAGGAGGAGGAAAGGGAGGAGGAGGACAGGGAGGAGGAGGAGGAGGAGGAGGAGGAGGAGGAGTCCTTGGCCCCTGGCCATGGGGAGGTCAGAACGCAGGCGGCGTCGTATGAGCCGCAGGCGATTGTGGGCCCCTTGCCGCGTGGCCTGGCAGGGGGGGCGCCCGGCCCGCGAGCGCGGGATCGTCCGAAGCGCTCGGAAGGAAGAAGGCGGAAGAGGAGGAGGAGGAGGAGGAGGAGGAGGAGGAGGTACCCAGACCCGCCAACTCTTCCTCGTTTCCCCCTTCCTCGGCCTCCTGGGAGGCCCTCGACGCCACCGCTGGCTTCGTCTCGAACTTCTGGTCAGGACGCACCCCGGGAGGGTGCCGTAGAGTCGCGGCGTCGGTACCTTGGCGTCTCCCCACAGGAGCATCTTCCCCATGGGCGCCCCAGACGGCTTCGAGGATCGGGGACGGGCGTCTGCTCTCCCTGCCCTGCCCTCCTCTTCCGCTCCTCGAAAGGGGGATCGACCACGGGATTGCTTAACCCCAGCGTTGATTGACCGTCGAATCTCCCAAAAACATGCTCCGCAGATCTACTGAATGTTCTACGCATCTCTTGCATCGACAGAACAACACGTTTGGGGCAAGTCAATTCTGTAGTCGATCCCCTACTCGAGCTCCGTCCTCCCCCCCCCGTGCCCTCTCCCGTGCAGTCTTCCCTTCCGCTCCGTCCTCTCCCCTGGCCCTCTCCCGCTCCGCCTCCCACCGCCCTCTCCCGCTCCGTCTTCCCCGTGGGCGCACCGGACGGCTTCGCGGATCGGGGGGGTTGGGCCACGCGTAGCGGGTGGCAATAGATGCGGGGGCAGCGATGGCTGTAGAAAGGGAGCCCTTTACGGCCCCAGCCCTCCAGGGCCCTCAAGGAGCCCTTAGGGCCCCCAAGGGCGCCCTCAGGGCCGGAAAAGTGTACCCTGCTCCCCCTCCCACCGTCGTCCCCCAGTTCATCCACGCCCAAGGGGGGCGAAAGGCTCGAGTTCGTCGGACCCTGGGTTTGCTGATGCGCCTTGACGAGCCCAGCCCGGAGTTTGGCGGTCTGGTGTTCGTGGGGGTGGCTTCAGCGGGAGCCTGCTTCCAATTTCAGACTGGGTCTCTAGAGGCCTCCCAAGTGGGGTCGAGGTAGATGGGGGCGGAGGATCGCGTCGCACCGCCGATGCATCGGCGATGCATCGGCGCCGTCGGCGTGGAGAGAACCGGGCTCCATATCAAGACTCGCATCGCCCATGCATCGGCGATGCGACGCCATCTGGCCTCATCTACTTCGACCCCTTTTGAGCAACGAAGGGAAACGCGTTCACCTTCACCGACATCGGCGAGCAAGCTGCCCGCGTAAGGTTGCGCGTGAGGGCCCTCGTTTTCACTGCAGCGCACAGCGCTGGCGGCCAGCGTTAGCCACCGCGTAAGGTCGCTGTGCCATCTCGTGTAAGACCCCGCTCTGATCGTCACTCATTGGGGAGGCCTCGGGTCCCAGACGCGCGACGTCATGATTCCATGCGCAGTCTCCGGACGTCCCGACCCTCTCCCCAGGGCCGGTTCGTGTGGGGTCTTTTCTTTCTTGACGGTCCCTGGACCAGACGAGGGCCCCGAAGCCGGAAACGGCCCAAATCCTCCCGTCGTGACTTTGCCACGACGCGAGCATGTCTGCGGTGTCGTCACTTCCCTGAGCCCGAGCTCTCCTCAAGGCAAGAAAAAAACACCCGGACGGGACAAACGGCGTTTACTAAACGGCAATGGGCGTTTATCAAACAGCCTTGCCCTGTTCGATTCCTTCTTTGGGCGCTTTTACTAAAGGCCCCGCGTGTCGGGGTGGTTCTTGTCGGGGTGGATTTTCTGCCCTCCATTTACGTCTCCCCGAGAGGAGGGCCGGCCGGCGCCGGTCATCTTCCCGCCGGGCCCCGCGGCGGGCAGCCCGGGCGGGCTGCCGGCGCAGGCGGCCCCAGAGAAGAAGGAGGAGCAGGGGCGGCGTCACGCGCCGCTCGTTGAAAGCGAGTGCGTTTGGATTCCCAAGTCCCAGTCCTTGTCAAGAGCCTGCCTACTTCAAGGGTCGATATGCTTTTGCTGTGGGCCTGAACCCAATCTACTCTTAAGTCGGGCCTGTCCCTCTACAGGGGGAATATTCAAAAATAGTCCAAAAATAGTCTGGGGGCGTGTTTTTTTACGCATTTTTGCAATTTTGCGGCATTGTTGGGGTATTTCCAATTTTTCGTCAAAATTCCCCTGTAGGGGGACAGGCCCGACCTAAATCTATTTAATCCGCCTTCCTACTTCGCGTGTTTACCTACTTCTTCCGACAGAGGATAACGGCGTCGTCTTTAACGACGTTTGCGCGTAAGTTGCCCGCGTCAGATCGCGCGTACACGCCCTCGCTTCCAATGTGGCGTGCCGCGCCGGCGGCCGGCGCAAGCCACCGCGTAATGTTACTATGCCATCTCGTGTCAGACTTGTTTCTTTTCGTCGCCCAGATGGGGTCGGAGTAGATGGGGTCCGAGGATCGCGCCGCATCGCCGATACATCGGCGATGCGGCTCGATGTGGAGCCAAGGTTTATCCACGCCGATGCATCGGCGATGCGGCGCGATCCTCCGATCCCATCTACTCGGACCCCCTCTAGGAGGCCTTTAATTAGGGTGGGGATGGGGCTCACCGGGCCCAGACCCCCTCGAGAAATTCAATCAGTCACGACGAAGGGCTTTCCCGTCAGAAGACGGCTCGGGATGAAAAGCCGGTCCCAGGGAGTCGATCGAGACTTGGGGCGTCGACATGATGAACAAGTCACAGCGTTGGGGCTCAGCGGGGCGGGGGGACGCATCGGCCCTCGAAGCCCGAAGCGCCCACGGATCGCCGAGGGGGGCCCGATAGCTCCACCCTGCCCAGGACGGTGCTGATTGGAATCGGGGGCCAAGCGCCGATGTTGCATCTAGCGGAGACGTGTCGCCGATCCCAGGTCGATGGGTTCTCCCTCTCCCCTCAGCCAGTGCCCCCCCTCCATATCGTTGCCCCTCGCAGAAGGAGAAGAAGTCCAAGAAGAAGTCCAAGAAGTCCGAGAAGGAGGAATCGAGCGGTGACGAAGCGTCTTGGCTTGCCTAGAGGCCCACCAAAGAATGTTCTAAGAACCTTACGTGGCCTGCACGAAATAGCATTCGATCATTTCTGGCTGGGACCGTCTTGGTTTAGCACATCGGGTTCATGTTTTGATGCCATTGTCCTTGATGTCCGAACACTTCTGGGCTCTGCGAACATGTCGTGGTATGCCTCCAGGGATGCCGGGGCGGTCGGTCCCTGCTCAAAGGAAGCACCCGCCCCCGACCCACCGGACGCCGCCCCGGTCGTCGCCGCCGCGCCAGAGGGCGACGCGGGCAGCTTGGGGGCCGCGGCTGCGGCCGCGGCCGGGGAAGTCCATGCCGCTCAGACTCGGCGGCGCGCCGAGGGGGGGAGTGCACAGGGGCGGGCCTTCCCCCCGGACCCCTCGGGCCACGAAGCACGCACGGCGGGAGGCTGCTGCCCGTCCTCGGCCTCGGGGGGCCCACGCCTGCCCTCGGGGCCGTCAGAAGCAGCGGCCTGGAAGGAGGACCTGGGCCCGGGCCCGGGACTATACGGTGCAGAGCTCCGCGGGGGGCCCGCGCTGGGACAAAAACAGCGCGAGCTCCCTGGCCCTCCAAGCTTCCGCACTCTCCGGACGGTGCGCGCAGTTGCGCTCACGGGTCTCTTCTGCTTTCTTGTTATCCCTTTTTGTCCCTTTTTGTGTTGCCGTGCCCCTTTGTGCTTCTTTATGTCCTCAATTGTGTTGTGGTGACTGCTGATGGTTGTTGACTGGGAACGGAGCGGAGGCAGGCCCTTCCGGCTGGGGGGGGCTTCTCTGACGCCTCCCAGCCATCTGAGCGGAGTTTCGAGCCCTCTGCGAAGCCACACGCGAGGGCTTCTTGGAAGCCCCGCCGCCTTCCGAGGAGAACTGCCCCCCCTGCCCTCCCCCCTGGGGCGCGCCGCCGAAAGACGGGGCCGGAGCAGGCGGGGCTGGATGATGGCCCGGCGCCGGCGCCAGGCCGCGACCGCCTCCGGAAGGACACTCCGTTCCCGAAGGCCAAGAAGGCGAAGGCCAAGAAGGCGAAGGGGAGGCGCGCGTTCTGCTGCTGAGGGCCACGGCGGAGGCGGGGGTGCCGTCACGCGCAGCCACCGCCCGCCCCCCTCCCATCTGTCGGCTACGCGTATGAGTGACCCTTCGCCAGAGTGACCTGTGGGTGTGGGCTCGCAGGGGTCTCTCCAGCATTAGCCTGCGCGCTTGGATTTGGTGGCCCCCTCGCGCCCCTCCAGAGCCTAGAGCCGCGCACCAAAGGCCACTCTTGCGCAGGGTCACTCCTGCGCGGTTAGCCGAATCCGAATCTGACTGGTGCCTTCCCCTCAGGGCCAACGTGGGGGGGATAGGCTTAGGGGGGGGGGGGCATCGGCCCCCAATCGCCCGTTGATCGCCGATGGGGTCCGACAGCCCACACCGCCCCGGAACGTGCGGATTCGCAACCGGGGGGCCCGTCGCCGATCCGTCGGCGGTGCCTCGCCGATTCCAGCTCGATGCTCCCCCCCCCCTGAGCCGGTCCCCTCCTGCCGCTCCCCCTCCTGGCCGGTGCCTCCCCCGCGCCGGCCTGTGGCCCGCGGGCGTCGCTGGGGCTCGAGGCATCGGCGGCCGCTGCTCGCCCTTGCACGCGCTGACCCGCGCAATGCGCCCGGAGTTCGGGCCTGCAGAGGGCATCCGTTTTTTTTGTTTCTTGCCCACATGTCTTAGGCGTGGGGCTCTTGTTGGTGCGGCGCCTCCTCCTCCCCTCCTCCTCCGCCTCCTCCTCCTCTCGCCCAGCTCTTCCTCCCACACTCGTACCAAGACCCGCCCATGTTCAGAGGCCATCTCGTACCCAGACTCTCTGAGGCACAATTCCTCTGATGCAAAGACTCACTCATACAAACTCATATGCTCGGATTCACTCATGCACAGACTCACTCACTCTCAGACTCACTCGTGCACACCAGTGCACACTCCTGATCAAATCCGCTCAACTCAGAGTTTTACATGTTCAGCCTCAGTCATACCCAGGGGGTGTTGCACGGGCCCTTTCGGGCCCAGATTAGAGGGACCTCTTAGGTAGAACAGTTTTTTTGGATGTTGACGTGCCCTTGGTTACAACGACCCCTGATCACCGCGATGTAGCAGCCATCGCATTCGGGCCTTCCAAAGTGGCGCGGTGGGGTTTGTGGGCTCATCAGGGGTGCGGGTGCACGGGCCCGTTCGCGCCCCGAGAAGTGGGACATCTCACTTAGACCGACGCTTGTTCTTTGGACGTAGACTTGTCCTCTTTTTTGGGAGCCCTATGACCACCGCGACGCAGGCAGTGCGCTCGGGACTCGCGAGGGAGGGAGAGCCGCCAGGGGATGCTGCACGGGCCCGTTCGCGCTCAGAGTGGCTTTTGACTGCTCAGGCGATGAGGGCGTCTGCTTTTCCTACTTCGACGTTTCCCTTTTCTTCAGGTGGAGCCTTCGCTGGAGACCCCATCCTCCTCCCCCTCCCCCTCCCCCTCCTCCTCCTCCTCCTCCTCCTCCTCGTCCTCGTCCTCGTCCTCGTCGTGCCCCATGGCCACCGCGATGTCGCAGGCATTGCGCTCAGGCCATCCAAGGGGGTATCGGCGTGGGGTTGTTGCACGTTCGCGCCCATGTTGGGTGGAGCCCTGTGAAGTAGAAGTGCCGTTTTGGGGAGGTGCCCGCGTGCTTCCTTTCAGATCACCTTGATCCCACAGGGCAGCCGCAAGGCAGACATGCCGCATATGGGAAGTCCCCGTCGAAAACCACAGTCGAGCGCGCACACACGTACGGCGCTCTGGCTGACGGCGTCCGATTGGTTTCTTGTCCGCGCGCGCGTTCCATGCGCTCTCTTCGGCCAAAGTAGCCGGTGGAGTGAGCCACTCAGCGTGGTCTACCGGTCTCACAGCGCACGAGGCAGAAAGGGAACAGAGACAAAGTTAGCACGCTCGCGGACGACGACGACGACGACGACGACGACGACGACGATAACGACGACGACGAAGACGACGACGACGAAGTCAACCCTCTCACCTCCTCGTCGTGGCTGGCGCCCGCTCCGAGGGGGCCGGCGGAAGTAGCAGCGGCTTCGCCGGCAGAAGCCAGCCAGCGTGCTGTGATCTTGCGGGCTAGCTAGAAGAGGAAGGTTTGCCGGACCGGTGGTTAGTGCTCAGGAGAGGAACAGCTACCGGTATCGCTACCCTTTCCTCGTCGCAACGGCTGGATTCGCCTGGACATATCGCACCTCCAGAGAGTAGCTGTATCAGTACTTTTTCGCGTCCCTAAGTGCTGTCCCCTCGAACCCCAACCTTCCGCGCCTTCGCGCGGCGGATGCCGCTGCGGGTTGCGTGGCCGCTTTGCGGCCGCAGCGGCGCTTGCCTCGCGGAAGACGGGGATGTCGAGTGATGCCCTTTTCTCTTCCTCGTGGGTGAAGCGTCCCTTTGGAGATACAGGGTTCAGCGCATGCACCAGGCATCTGCCAGTCTGGTAAGACTTCGAGTTGCGAGCAGGCAGCCCTTCAGGCAGTCCCAGTTGGCCTCATCAATGCCCCCCGAGCAGTCCCAGCTGGCCTCCACAGGCCCCCCGAGAAGCCCCACCAGTCCCATAACCCTGGCGCTGGCACCAGCGGCGCGCTCCGCGCACCAGATTTGGGGTGTGGAGACCGCCCCGCGGGGGCTGTCTGTGCGCAAACCCAAGCCTTGCCATGCCGGCCATTCCATCTGCAGGAGGAGCCCGAGCTGGTGGGGTTATTCTCGAAGACGAATAGCGGCATAAACATGAACTGTTGGAGCTCCGCTCGGATTTCTTGGACCTGCGCTGGACCCCCTTCCTGGTGGGCCAGCACCGATCCAAGAAGTCCGCGCGGAGCTCCAACAGTCTATGTTTATGGATTTCTCTGCTCCTCTCGTACCGCGTTGGTTACCCTCGGAGCGTCGTCGATTCTCGACCCAGGAATTTTGCGGTGCATAGTTTTTCGGGCCTCGGAGCCGGAGAAACTATGCACCGTGCCTCGCTGCCGCGGGGCTTGGACGGAGTCCAGACATGGCGCGGCGCATGGGCGCCGCTCTCGTACCGGAGGTGTCCGAGCTGGCCGGGTGAGTCTTGGACCGGTGTGTTTCTCGAAGGGTGGTTGTGTCTGCCCGAGGCTCTTCTGCCCCTCGTGGAGCTCTCCAGGAGTCAAGCAGTGGCGAAGCGTCCTGGCGTGCCTATAGGCCTACCAAACAATCTTCTAAGAACCTTTTGTGGCTTCCACGCAATGTTCTTAGAACGTTTTTGGCTGGGACCGTCTTGATTTAACACGCAAGCCTTATGTTCTAAGAACATTGTTTTGGTTCTTAGAACATGCTTGGGTTCTAAGAACATGTCGAGCCGCGCGCGGGGCGCAACCGTGCGGCCGCGCATCCGCGGGGCCGCGTATCCGCGAGTCCAGGCCGCGAGCGCGCGGATGCGGGTGCGTTTTTCAGTCTGGCGCGTCCCCCTGCAGGAGGAATGCTCAAAAACTAGTTTAAAAATAGTCTGGGGACCTTTTCTTTGAATCATGTTGGAATATGTTCAGGCATTTCTTGGGTATGTTTTATTTATTTAATCGCTTCGCTCATTCCGCCGGCCCATACAGTCTCATGTCTGTCGTTTGCCCGAGGGCCTGGTGTCAATGCGGCGCTTTGGGGGTTCTTGTGCCAGGCGTCTCGGGAACCTCTTGGAGGCAGTGTTGAAGCCTCTTGAGGCCCCGTAAGGGCCGTTTGGGGGTCGTTGGGGCTTCTTGTTGGGCTTCTTGGGTGGTTCTTGGGGCGTCTTGGGGGACTTATTGGCGGGATGTTGGTGGCTTCTGAGGTGCTCCTAGGGGCAGAATCCCCCTTTGGGCGCCTCTTGGGCGGTCTTGGTGCTCTCTTGTGCCGTCTTGGGGTTATCTTGGGCCGTCTTGGGCCGATTTTAGCGGATTGTTGGGCTGTCTCGGGGCGATGTTGGGGGCTATTTGCGTAGTCTGAGGCGCTGTGAAACTCGAAACGCCGTTCATGCGGGAAGTGTACATGTTCCTCTGAGAATGGGACGATTTTTACCTAACAGCGTAGACTGATAGGTTTCTAGTAGGATCAAAAGAGGGCAGCAGCTTACTCCACAGGGGGGTCGGGGCGGATGTCGGCGAGCTGCCGGGCGGACGCCGGGCGGACGAACCGGGTTCGTTTTTCGCAAACAGTCACACACTTCGTGCTCTTCGACCTCCCAGAACTCCATTCCCGGGCCGCATTTTGAATAACCGGACGCAACAGTCACACACTTCGTGCTCTTGAAGTTCCCAGAACACCATTCCCGGGCCACATTTTGAATGCCCGGAGCCAACTGTAGGCCACTTCGTGCTCTTCGACTTCCCAGAACGCCATTCCCGGGCCACATTCTGAATGCCCAGAGCCAACTGTAAGCCACTTCGTGCTCTTCGATTTCCCAGAACACCATTCCCGGGCCACATTCTGAATGCCCGGAGCCAACTGTAGGCCACTTCGTGCTTTTCGATTGCCCCGAACGCCATCGCCGAATGCCACTCCTGCCACTCCTGGCGCACATTTTGGATGCCCGGAGCCAACTGCACGCCACTTCCTGCTCTTCCACCTCCCAGAATTCCATTCCCGGGACGCATTCTGGAGAACACGCCATTGTAGTCGTAGTAGTACACCGCACTCACATCTATACCCCTGGGTGGGTGTATGTGCGGCCGTTTTTGCGCTGTCATGTGCGCGCATGTGCGCGGCATGTGCCAGTCATGTGCCAGGCCTGTGCGGTCCTTCTTGGATGGACTTCCTACTGTGCACGTCGTGCCCGGGCATGTGCGGGGGCATGTGCGCTGTGTTTTGATGTATCCATCATACGCACATGCACGCACAGTCCGACGCACATGCGCGCACATGCCTGCACATGCGGGAGGTGTTCGAGAATCGCAGATCTGTCATCGGCACATGCACGCACATGCCTGTGCAACCTCTCTTCGGGAGGCCGCGCGGGCCCGCACATGCACGCACATGCGGTGAAGCGCGCGGGCGCACATGCGTGCACATCCCAATGCACATGCACGCTCATGCCCTAGGAGCTGTCTGGGACCCTTGTGCCTCCAATGCCTCCTGGCCTTCGCAGAGCTAACCTGGGGCGTGCCAGGGCTTCCTGAAAGAGTTTGTTGTGCGTTTAGACTCGCCCGCTGCTGGCGGGGGCGGTTATTCGCCCGGTTCGTGAGCTGGCGGTGGCGCGCCCGCCTAATAAAATACTCTCCCGCGCGCCTTCTCAGCTCGGCCGGAGAAGCAGGGATGGGGGGGGGGAGGTGGAGGGGGGGGGGAGGAGGGGGGGGCGGAGGAGGCGGGCGCCCCCGGCCACTGGCCAGCCTGCCTGTTCGGCTCGGCCAGAGGAGAAGGAGGAGGAGGAGGAGGAGGAGGAGGAGGAGGAGGAGGAGGAGGAGGAGGAGGAGGAGGAGGAGGTGAGAGTTGCGAGGATGTCTCAGGCGAAAGTGGCTTGACGGCCCGAGCTCAGGGAATCTCGGAATCGCTGGCCTGGCTCGGCCACCGGCGAGCTCGGCCTGTGCGAATACTGTGCGTACCTGTGCAGTGCATGTGCGGGACGTGCAAGAATGCCGGGGCCGGCGTTCGTCTCCGGACGCCGGCGCGTTCGCGTCCGGCCAGTTCCGCGTGAGACGTCGTCGGCAATTTGGAGGCCGACGTGCTTTGACATGAAGTGATCTGGCCGCCTTCGCCTGAGACATCCTCGCAACTCTGGTTTCGGAGATGCCCTGCCCCATGGTGGCCCGGCCACTTTCGCTTGAGACATCCTCGGGACTCTGGGTTTCGAGACGCCCTGAGCTGAGGTGATTAGACCACTTTCGCTTGAGACATCCTCGCAACTCTGACCTCAGAGATCTCCTGCCCCATGCTGGTCAGGCCACGGTCGCCTGAGACATCCTCGCAAGTCTCGATTCCGATATGCCCCGAGCTGAGGTGGTCAGCCACTGTCGCCTGAGACATCCTCGCAACCCTGATCTCAATGATGCCCTGCTCGATAGTGTCTCGGCCCCTTTCGCCTGAGACATCCTCGGAACTCTGGGTTCCGAGACGCCCTGAGCTGAGGTGGTTAGACCACTTTCGCTTTAGACATCCTCGCCCGAGATGCCCTGAGTTGAGCTGTTCAGGCCACTTTTGCCTGAGACATCCTCGCTACTCTGACCTCAATGATGCCCTGCTCCATAGTGTCTCGGCCTTTTTCGCCTGAGACCCTCGCAACTCTGGGTTCTGAGATGCCGTGAGCAGGTGGTCAGGCCAGTCCTGCCTGAGACATCCTCGCAACTCTGGGCTCCGAGATGCCCTGGGCTGAGGTGGTCAGATCACTCTCCCCAGAGACATCCTCGCAACTCTGACCTCAGAGATCTCTTGCCCCATGGTGGTCAGGCCACTTTCGCTTGAGACATCCTCACAACTCAGACCTCGGAGGTGTCCTGCCCCATGGTCGTCTGGTCACCTTGACCAGCGACATCCTCGCCACTCTGGTTTCCAAGATGCCCTGCCCCATGGTGATCCGGCCACGCTTGCCTGAGACATCCTCGGAACTCTGGGTTGCGAAATGCCCCGAGCTCAGGTGGTCAGGCCACTATCGCCTGCGACATCTCTGCGGCATGTGCGGGCATGTGCGTCTATGCTTTCAGAGTTTTGCTTGACCGTGCATTCGACTGTGCGTCGGACGGTGTGGCATGTGCGCGCATGTGCGGCAATGCTGT